TCTATTTGTATTTTTTTTTTACTATACAAAGGCATTTGACTGTGTGGATAATAGCTATCATTGAGAAGAATGGGAATCCCAGAACATTTAATTGTGCTCATGTGAAACCTAGACCAAGGGTCTATATTATTGTCAAGGGAATGCATTAAGAACTAAGCAAGTAAAATACGTTAAAAGTATTTTGGAGAAACACTAAGCTAGAATAATGGTGATAAGCAGTTTTAAAGTAAATTATATAGAGGTAGGGATATTGTAGCTAATGTTAGATGGATCTTAGCTGAAAGCAGGGAATACCAGAGGGATGTTTATCTGTGTTTCCTTGATTATTCAAAGGCATTTGACTGTGGGGATCATAACAAACTGTGGCTGACTCTGAGAAGAATGGGAATCTAGAACACTTGGTCCTGCTAGTGCGAAACTTATACTTGGACCAAGGGGCAGTCATCAGAACAGAGGAAGGAAACACCACATGGTTCAAAATTGGATAGGGTGTATGCCAGTGATGTGTCCTATCTCCATACCTTTTCCACCTGTATGCAGAACTAATTATCCGGGAGGCTGGGCTCTATGAGGAGAAATGTGGCGTCAGGATTGGTGGAAGATCTGTGAAAAATATGCGTTATGCAGATGACACAATCCTACTTGCTGAAACTGAGGAGGACCTGAAGCGCTTGCTGCAGAGGGTCAAGGACTGCACTCTTCAATATGGATTGAGCCTCAGTGTCAAGAAGACAAAGATTCTCACCACTGGACTAATTGGCAAAGTCAACACTCGGCACCAGCAGCCAGGAAATTAAAAGATGTGTTGCTATGAGAAAGTGTACTGAAGAGCAATGATGTCTCTCTGGAGACTTAAGGTGCGTCTGATACAGGCCATGATCTTTGCTATCACTTGTTATGCATCAGAGAATTGGACAATGACTAAGGAGGATAGAAGGAGAATTGATACCTTTGACTTGTGGTGCTGGAGAACAGTATTGAGGGTACGATGGATTGCTAGGAAAACAAACAGATTCATCCTGGAGAGGGTTAAACCAGGTTACTCCTTGGAGGCAAGGATCCTGAGGCTTCGTCTGACATAGTTTGGACATGGTCCTTGGAGAGGGACATCATGCTTGGGAGAGTGGAGGGTACGGCGCAGAAGGGGAAGGCCCTCTATGAGGTGGATTGATTGAGCAACTGGGGTAATTGGGATGGGTGTGTCAGAGACAGTGCGATTGTCACAGGACAGCAGAGTTTAGGGCTGTTGGACATAGGGTCGCTATGATGAACTTGACGGCACATAACAGTATAAGACATCTTACAAAGTAACATTTACAAGTCACCTGCATTGTTGGTTGAATTGATTTATATTTTATTATGTGTATTCTTCTTAACAACCAGAAACTAAATAAGTTACATACACACACATATAAAAAATATATATATTACTTACCATTGTGTTGGAACCAACCCACTGCTTACACAGATGAGTTGTGGGAAGATATCAAGGGTATCATCCAGGAAGTGTGCAGATGTTCATTACAAAGACAGGAGGAAGAAAAGACCAAAATGGATGTCAGAAGAAACTCTGAATATTGCACTGGAGTGCAGAGAAGCCAAAGCACAAGGAAGAATTCAAAATACTAAAGAGCTGAA